GAAACTTCTTCAAGCAGCATTGAAAGCTCAACACAATCTCTGCCTCTTGAATTGCACTAGGAGAGCATTTCAGAACTACCAAAATCCCCTACTTATAAGCCATTACTTGACAACGCACTGTTAGTTGTGAGATGACCAATAAGGCTTCCTTAGAAGATCTCAGGACCAGGTTGATGTAAGCAGGAGAAGATGGTGTCTTGGTCCCAAGCTGTGCAGGGCTTTAAATATCAGAAGCAAATCCTTGAACATAGCTTGGTAGCTAACAGGCAGCTGGTGCAGTTCTTTTCACACAGGTATGCTCTGCGTACGGCTGCTCACGGTGCTGAGCAACGAAGCTGCTGCATTCTGCGCTGGCTACAGCTTCCAAACCAGGTTCAAGGGCAGCTGCACAAAGAGCACATGACAGTATCTTGGGCTTTCAAGAGGAGGAAGAAAGACGAAAAGCATCCTGTGGTGTGCCACCTCCCATGAAAATGACAATTCAGGGGTATGTTTGTAGCATACTTCTCCATTTGAAATTTGAACGCCAGCTGCTTGACTCCCTGCAAAACAGCTTGTGATCTGATCCCCGATATTTTTGCAAAAGGGTACCTTGCTGGTCAAGAAATTCAGTGCATAAGCTGGAATTTGTCATAGCCACTCACAGAGCAGGGAAAAGGTATGCAGTTATTGTTTAAAACATTCCATCTGCCTCACCAGGCCAGCTTTGAAGGGTAAGAAATCTCCAGCCTGTCCTGAAGGGAAACGTGGGCCAAGTGACACGTTTAAGACATTCTTTTCTCTCCTTATTCAAGTGACAGGTCACCACCCCTCTAATAAAGGGATGTCAGTTCAAATTATTATGTGATCTTTCTTGTCTTCCTTCTCCCCACACCCACCTTGTGTCAGCTGAGGAATTCTTCCCCCCATTGAGATGCATAAATAGCCCGTCTGCCCTAATTATAGCTAGCTATACATCCCACACTGGAGAGACCCGGGCAGCTTGTGTGTGCTAAAGGGATCCTCTCCCCAAGCAATTTCTTCAAATATTGCAGCCTGCTCAGTCACGATCCCTCTAGGAACTGGGCATCACATGGTTGAATGGGCAGCTGCTCACCCTTCAGATGCACATGCTTCTTCTGCTTAAGGTTAGTCCTGTTCATTTACCAGGGGCTCAAATGGGGGTTTTTTAGGCAGGGGTGGAGAGGTTGCACATGGTCCTTACACCACGACCACCTCCCTCCTTATCCTAGTCTAGCCTGGAAGAGGACCCCTCTGGTCCTCCAGATGTCACTGGACTTCAGTGCACACCATCCCTGGTCCACATAACCAATGATGCAAGTCAGAAGCCACCAACACTTGTAGGGCCACAGGTTGGATTGATGGGATACTCACACATGGCTGAATGTATCAGGAACCAGGGCCAGTGGGGAAGTGATGATATTGGGATTGTACCCATGATTGCTATACACGTTAATAATGTAAGGGCTTACATCTCAGTACTTAGGTGCACTGGATAACTAGCATTTTAACAACATGACTGTTAATGTGAATGCTAAGGCTGTAATTACTATTATATAGCATGTATCTATAATAGCAATAATATAATATTGTGGTTGCTATTATTATTTCATGCCAGTTTCTTCTCGGTGAAACTCCAGCTGGCACAAAAGGTCCCCCATAATTTGTTTTATCACCAGATTCGGCTGTGAGACTTAAGTTCTGTTCACAAGTTGTTGCGATGAATAAACTACCCCTGCATGACTCTGTGGCCCTACCAGCACCACCCGTGGCCCCCACTGGCCCCACCCCCAGGCCTCTGCAGATTCAGTAGAAAGTTTAAGGGGCACTTAGATCCATACGGCTCAATGTATATGTGATCTGGAACTCTAACTATACAGGGAAGGTGCCGGGGGGGGGGGGGGGAAAAAAGGGGGGGGGGGCTGACACCCCCTGACACACACACACAAACACACGCACGCATCTTCAGAAGGCCCCCCCCCCCCCGACCCATGGTCTCCCACTGATCTTCATTGCCAGGTAGGTCTTTGTATTAGGTCTCCCTAGTTATAATCAGGGAGACTAGCAACTGCCCACCCTTGCTGTTGCTGCATAGCAGGGGTGGCCAAGCTTGCTCGACAGAAGAGCCCTGTACCCTACATGTCGGGTGTTTGAGAGCTGCATGTGGGGGCCCGCGGGCGGCAATAGCAATAGCGGGGGTGGGGAGTGGCAAGTGGGCACCCACGGGCTTTTGCAACAGTGAGCGGAGAGATTCAAAATCCACTCAAAGAGCCGCATGTGGCTCCCAAGCCGCAGTCTGGCCACTCCTGCTGTATAGCAGGAGGTGGAAGGAACAAGCGGTTGGTTTTTCTTACACAAGATTTCGGTTTTCAGAGTTGCTTGTTTGTTTGTTTGTTTGTTTGTTTACAGGAGTTTTACACAGACATTGTTCCAAAGAACAAAGTCCCTTTGGCTCCCAGGACACATGTATCCACTTAGGTCCTGTACTCAGAATTTCCCATGTTTAGTCATATATCAACTATCAGATAACATTTCAAGAGGAACTGCTAAAGAAAGAATAAAAGCCCCCACAGATTATCTGACATGGACAAAAGAATAAGATAAGATCCAACTAATGAATACAATAATATCAAATGAATGGAGCAGTTCGGTTTTTCCACAGCTGTAGAAGAATAATGGAGATTATCCTCATCAGGGAACTTTACATGAGAAAATAATCAAACACAGTGCAGTAAACAGAGTTTGAAGATTGGCATTTCTGCACGGTCCAGAGCTTCCTGCATCCAAGTGTTTAACTTAGCAGGGAGTCTGACCATTCTTAGTAGAAAAACAATCACATCCTTTGGGCCATCCTCTCCTAGCTGCCTACCCAAAGCTATTTTGGGACAGCATTTTCATGGCCATATTTGAGCTGCTCTTTTCCATTACACTATGTCAGATTTCATCTAGATAATAAGCTAAAGACAGAGAGAGAGAGAGAGAGAGAGAGAGAGAGAGAGAGAGAAGCGGGGGGAAGACAGTTCACTGAATCATCTGCTTATTCTAGCTGGAGTCCTGTCCAAAACTGGCTGCAGAAAAGTAAAGTGATTGCCTTTCTCTTACTCCCTAGTGTAACTGGAAACTTTTTTAAAAAAAGCAAACTCTCACTCTTCCCTTGATTTATTATTACTCTGGAATGAAAAACAAGTGCTGTGAGACCTAACTTTCTATCTCTGATTGAGATGACCTTCTGTCATCTTTTTCTGACTCATAGCAGTGCTCTTAAACATCCAAAAGAAAATGCAAATGTATTACTTGCAAAAGGGTGGTAAATCAGTGATCAAATATTTACAGTATGGTGAACAATCTTGGCAGAGGATGCCAGTTGGTCCTTCAGGCTCCAAGGTGGCTCTAGCAGCAGGACTTTTAAGAATAGCTGCTTGGATTGTAAGATTAGTGATTTTCTTATTTTATTTTATTTTTGGCACATGCTTATTACTATTTTCAGTACATGGGAAGTTCTAGTTTGCTGAACTGAAGAGAAGGGAGGTTTCCTCAGAGAGTGTGAACAACAATTTCATGAAGAGTCAGTGACAAGGGAATAGGAGAGAAACCTGATCTGGTAGGATAAAGCTATGCACAGTGGTAATTAGACTTTATTTTTAACAGAAAAAACAGATAAACTTGGGGAAAGTTTGGCAGCTGAAAAGAGTAAGAATGTGAGCTGTATTAGATTAGCCAGTTCATTTATTGTATATGACAAAGCGAAGCTTAATGTAATTTGCATGCTAAAACTTTGACCTTTTCCAGTGTATTTATTCAGCAGCGAGCATCATTTTGGAAAACGAATATGCTCAGAAAGAATGGTAGAAAGACAGGAGAAGGAATCTCTATGGCTCTGAAGCACTGCTATATCCCCTGAAATGGAGATTTTGCTGCCATGTGTCATTTACAATGTTCTCTTGCAACATACCTCCTACAGTGAGTAAATGTTATTTACTTTCTAACATTATTTCACATTGTGATTTGATCAAAACAGCACAGAATATCACACAATGACTTTTAGGCAAGAGATTCTTAACTTGGTACAAGTGTGAGTTTTACCCTCCATGATAAGGAAAAAACAGTCATGTTAAAAATAGAGTTTTACTTTATAATAGGGAAGAACACGCCAGAATTAGCCAGTAGGATTTTTTCCCCCTTGCTCTATTATTGAAGCTGTCATAGCATGTTAAATAGTGCTTTAAATTTATCTTCGCCTTGCTGTCAGAAAAAATATTTTTTTCTGAAACATATACACATGTATTAGTTTAACTTGCATTTAAAAAAGCACAATGGTTCTTGGATACTCCTTGCTACCAGCATTCTTTGAGCAGTAGCCGCATAGGTTGCTTGCTTGCTTTTTATGTCACCTTGACCCCTAACTTTTGCATAGCAGCCACCTGAGCTTGCTTTTCAAACATGCAAAGTAAATACTGAAGTCCATCTCTTTATGTGCTCTGAGCACATCAGGCATATCTACAGATGCAGCCCTCAGAATACCATGTGCTGTGGATAGCGAGAGGCTAGGCTCTTGATGGTGAGTGATGCTTTCATGGCAGGAGGCTCTTCTGAGGCTCTTGCATTAATGTGAATGACCTCTCAGCGCGTGGTGCTACCCATGTCTACTCAGAGCCCTTTGTGTTTAATGGAGCTTATAGCCAGGTAAGTGGATCTAGGATTGCAGCCTCAGCTAGGGTTACCTGCATACACTGCATACATGCTCCATTCATTATTTGCACATGAGGTTTTATCCCTTCCTAGAAAATCTTAATCTAGTGCATATTTCAATCAATAAAGCCTCCAGTGGTGGCTGGCATTCGGTGAAACTTAAAAGCACATTTATTCCACACTTGATTCCTCTTTCCTCTTTCGTTTCCTGTATGATTCAAAATAAGCTGCCTATTTCTCTTCTGTTCATACTTCTATTTCTTCTGCTACCGGTCTCCCTCTCTCCGTATTAAAAACATTTGTCCACTCACCTCACTCATGATTGTTTGGAAAGGACAGTTCACAGATCTTCCACTTCTTCAGAACAAGGCTACTGAACCAAGTGCTTGCCACTGTTTCTAGCTTTTCTCTTAAAAAGGGATGTCCAGTGGCATCGTGCTGCTAGTAAACCAATAAGAAATATTCACCTGCTGAACACCCCCCCCCCAGCATGTATCTGAGGGAACAAAGGGCCACCTTGTGGTAAGAGCTGGAAACTGTTTTATCAGCTAGAGTCATTCTTCAGAAGCCATGGTTTTAAGGTGCAGGGCGATGACTGGAAAAAGGGAGGAGAGAGCGGTAAATGGGAGGATGAAGCTCTTCCTCCTGTTACTGACAAAGAAAAATAACATGCATGAGGATCCTGAAGGTTCATCAGTATCCAGTGCATCTGTAAGCATGTCTGAAAGCAAACCTCTTGGTTCATCTGAATTGCTGTCCTTCTCTCAGTAGAATCCACCAAGTAAAGTGTGCCTCATTCCTGCATTTCGTGCTAATGAAGACTTCAGCAGCTACCTGGCATGCAGATAGTCAGATGTACGCTCTGTGTCCGGGGAGGCCCTTCCTTGGGGATCAGTGTGGGGAGGAGGCAAAGAAGAAGTGTGGTAAGATGCACATGCCAGAGCAGAAGAAAGGAAACACTTTGTCTCCAGAGCATAAAAGAAACAACCACCAACAATTCTCAGAAAGCAAGGGCTGCTGTCAGAGAGAGATCAGCGCCAGCTTGTGGCATGACCAGGCAGCTGCTGGGGCCAAGCAGGACTCGCGCCTGCGCTGCCTGTCCTGGGCCTCACCCACCCTCATGTGCATGGCAATTTTAAAAGATCCAGGGTGATGTGCATGAGATCTCAACTGCACAAATGCTGACTAGTACTGAGCTCCTCACACGTTGGTGCCCCGTCTTTGCTCAGTGCATGGGTGTCGGGATAGGGTCGGCGCAGTGCGTATCACTGGGTGAGGCCAGGAGCTGCAGCACTGCTCCATCCTCCATGCTCTGACTCAGGTGAAAGATGACTGAGTAGGACTTCAGTCCTCATTATGCCTTTAAAATTATGTAGCAGGTGGGCATTGTTGTTTTTTAAATGGCTGCTTGTACATTTATGCATTCCAAAGTTCATTTAGTGCCTTAACTTTAGTGATTCAGAGGAAACAATTCTTTCACTCACTTTTCTGTGTTTGTGTGGTGGGGCTGTGGGGGGATCTGAAAAAGCACTTCATGTGAGGAGGGTTCCTGAGGTCAAAGTTGTTAGCCAATCAGTATTTCACAGCTGCAAACTGGTAGAACTAGTTTCTTCTGAGCTTAATTCTGGAAAGAAGAAAGTGAGTTTGACCAAAATGCCATTGTGCACTGTTGCAAGCCCACTTCGGTCTTTGGTCTCCCAAAGTGTGCAGTCTTTTCACTAAAGTCATCTCCATTTCATCTGGTTTCAAATTCAGCTTTCACTGATAACCTGGAATCACCACAGGCAAACATGGCATCAGCAGCTAAGAAAAGCAGTGAAACCCAGTAAGATTTGAGAAGTATTAATGTATCTGCAGAGTGTATTGGGGGAAATGATTTTACCTTCTCTCCCAGTTGCAACATAGTTATTTTCAGTTTGAAAACGAAAGCAGGAGAATATTTACTGAAGTCCTGTACTGTAACAAGTTTGGGATGTTGTTTCCATTTGCTGAAGAACTGATGTGTCAGACTGACTAGACTGAGCACTGGCCTCAGTAATGGTGGTACGGATGGGAGTGCAGAAGTTTTAGGGCTTGCTCAACTTCTCTCTGAGAGGATAGCCGAAGCATCGTTCAAGGCCCTGTGAAAGGAGCCCATGGAAGAGGTCTGCGAGAATGATGAGAGTCTACATTCCATTTCCCCCAGATCATGGAAAGTGCCTTGACCTGGTTTTGGACAATTTCCTTCTCCAAGCAGTCCCCCATTTCCCATATTTCTACAACCCTCTGTAGAAGCTTTTTGGTGGGATACAAGGGGGGAAACTGGGCAATTTTCATTGCATGAACTTCCTTCTCTTAAGGTATCTTAGGATCAATGCCATACACTAAAGCTCAGATATGATGTTTGTTCTGGAGTGGCAATAGAGAATTCAGTGCTTAATGAACCCACCGAAACATAGGAAGGCACCGTCCACTGGGTCCAGCTAACCCAGTATTGTTGGCTCTGATGCACAAATAAATATAAATACACAGCAGTTGTATAAATAGCCAACCCTGGAGATATCAGGGTTTGAACCAGAGAACTTTCACGAGTAGGAAGGAGCTTTATCACTGATTTATGTCTGCTCCCTGTTCCCCATTTTCTACACATTTCCTATCCTCAGAATTTGGCATCTAATCATATATCCTATCCAACATCAACATATAGCACTATTATAAGAACAACTTTGTTTTCCTCTTGAACTTCTTTATCTCAATGGCAAGGTCTTTTAAGGAGAAACAGCCTTTTAGCTGAGAGTGCGATTTGGAGATTCAAGTGCTATGAACATAATTGGACATAGACACTACTGACTTGGGTCAAAGTGAAAATGATTTAAAAGCTGAAGAGCTTTTTTCTTTCTGACCCTTTAAATTAGAACCACATTAATTTATGAATCCTGGCCTGATATACTGGGAGCTATGCAGAGATCCAGCGCTTGGGCTGTTGGAGACAAGTAATAAGAAAGCAAGCTTCTTTGTGCAAAAGTGGCCAGGCTGCATGCTTACCTTTCCCTGTCCTCATCGATTCAGCACATCACTGGCCCAACTGTCTTATTTCGACCATGACAGAAACATAGTGGAGAAAAGTTGTTCATTTTGAAATGTAATATAAACTTGCTTGATTCCATACTTTTGAAGTAGTAGGTGAATTAAAATTCAGCTATCCTTTGAAGTTTACAGTTCTCCAAATATTAGAATGGAGTTCTTCATCAAAAGATGCTGTGTATCTCTCTCTCTCTCTCTCTCTCTCTCTCTCTCTCTCTCTCTTCAAGACAAGTCAGGAGGAATTCTCAAAATTGAAGAAGAATCAAATTTAAATTTGGAAAATTAGGAAATAGAAGAAACCCAAATAGACAGATTTATTCATTTCTACGTGGGACTTGCTCTCTTTAACTAAATGGATAGTGGTGGAAATCCTACCTATATTTTGGATTGCAGTTGGAAAAAGATAAGTGGAAAGAAGTTTGCCAACATGCTTCCAAGCTGTTACACAAAGGATGACACTGTGTGATGGTCAGTATATATGTACTAGTTGTTTTAAAGTGGGGCAGATGTTTCATTGATACAAAACAGAAAGCGTCCTTTGAAATTAGAGCACAACAGCTGAGGCTCTGGGCTCATATGTTTGTAGTCACTGTGTATCTATGAGCCAGAGTCAAGGGAGACTTTAGCACTAATTCAACCCACTAATAACTGATGCTTTACAGGTTTGGGGAAAGGGGAGAGCTTTTCCTACCAATTCTATTTTCTAATTCAGGGATTATGCTTTGTATTCTTCTATCTATATAGGTGCCCTAGTACCCGAAGGAACCAAGGAAACTTCTGAAAGAAGCCCATAATAGCTTTGCTACTGAGTTAAAGAATAATATCTCACGGCCTGCCATGGCTTGACAAAAGTACTAGGCTCTACTTTACTGTTGTTGCTGTTGTTGTTTTCAATAGCAGATTGGAGTCAGTTGCATCCTTAGTCCCCAAGCAGCAAAAGAAATAGTGAGACTTCTGTCTTGGCATTCAACTGGAGCAAATATCAGCTTCTAACAATAAAACATTAAGGCTGAAGTTCTCAACATATTCACTGGAGACTAAGCCCCCCTGGACCCTGTGGGACTTACTTCCAAGTTTAGGGTCCTAGGTTCATCCTGTTAATCTTTAGCAATGTTGCTTAAACAGTTGTGTTGGTATCAGAGTATAAGCCATACTTAAGGTGTCCATCTTTTTCAAGATATTGACTTGGTTAGGCAGCAGGATAGCAGGCAAACATCTAACCTATGCAGTCTCCTCTATCATGGCATCTTTTTTATCAAGGAAAAGAATAGTCTTGGACAAACTAGATAAGGTAATGTCTTAGCAGCCCAATCCTATTTATGTTTACCCAAAAATGAATACTACTGAATGCTGTTGTTGTTTTTGACATCTATTTTGCTCAATAGCCAAAGCTATCTCTAGACATTTAATAATTAACAAAATCACAAAACACATATACATACAGCACAATATGATTTCTTAACATTGTAAAACAATTTAAGCAGCAATTTCTATAAAATTCTATGAAGGTGATCCATAAAACGCCATCATAAATGCCTTGGAACACAGGGCAATCGTAACCTGGTAGAGAAAGCACTGAGAAGACCCTTCCCCTTGTGCCACCTTCTGAGTCATGCTTGCAGGTGGGCTTATTGTCATATCTAGGTGGGTTCATGTTGGCAGAGGTGCCCAAGGGGGTACTGCACAATGAGGCTTACTCCCAACGAGCATACCTAAGATTTCAGCCTTAAATGAACCCATTTTCTACACATCTTTAGTCTCCTTATTGCATTGGAATCAGCTTTTAAAATTGACAGTGGAAGTCAATTTGCTACCTCACCAAGTCTATTCTTCTAATAGACTGTCTTTTGTAACTTTTTAGAACCAGGTTATATGCCCTAGCCTTTTCATAAATACTGGTACAGATACATGTTTCTTAAAGTTACCATATGCTGGAAACATAGCAGGGCATGGCAGATTTTAAGGTCAGGAGCATCTTCATTTAAAGATACATCCCAATCAAAGTTGCACAGAGTAATTGTATATTTTAAATTTAATGATTAATTTGCCATTAATATATTATGAACAGAGTTAGTTGTGTAGTTGCCTGTATTTTGGTAAAAAAAATACTGCATGAGAGGAGAGTTTGGTGGAGGGAAAATATAGACTGGAATGCTTTGATATTTCTGTCTAAATACGACTGCCTGGCGACGGTGACACACGCGCTGGTGACTTCCCGCCTAGACTTCTGTAACGCGCTTTACGTGGGGCTTCCCCTGAAGACAGTCCGAACACTTCAATTGGTACAAAATAGAGCTGCCAGGTTGCTGACGGGGATGGGGCGTTATGCTCACA